TCTGTGTGCCTGTTTCAGTGAAACCCAACCTCATAGTTTTCAAAACCTCACCAGATAATTACCTAAATTTACAACAATCAAATTTGACTGAATGACTTGACCAATTATATATGTAGTTAAAAAAGCATGCGTTGTATACACAGCAAAAACGCACTGCTGCACAGGGACCAAAGATTTGTAAATTTACATTATTCAAACGATTGGGGTTAGTAAGATATTTTTTTGAAAGAAATTCATATTTTTAGTCAGCAAGGATGCATTAAATAGATCAGAAGTTACAGTAAGCACATTTATAATGTTACAAAAGATTTATATTTCAAGTAAATGCTGATCTTTTGAACTTTTTAGGCCGTCCAAATAGCTAGCTTTACCATTAAAGGATTATAATGTTGACAGAACTGACAAAACCCTGTCCCGTCTTCTGTGGGGTCTGTAATTCTTAATGAAGCACTTACGGCACGCTGATGCAGGGACGGGACAGGAATGGCCTTGTCTTAGAGCTTTATCAGACTCCTTATGTCCATTTTTCATGTGAGAGAGGAAAAGAGCATTACATTTATGTTCTTGGTAGAATGAGAGGACCTTAGCATTCGTTTTCCCAGTGCATTATCCAAACTCTGACAAAACACACTGCTTGTCCTCATGACAATGCAGATGTTCCAAGTAATATTCAGCCAGCACATTGTAGGTTTTGGGCTCAGCCTTGTTCGTGCATTCGTTTGGCGGGAGGTGAAACTTCCATGGTGGAGCGGGCACGTCGTCCGCTTTGACTGTAGATCTGGTGTAGGCTTGCATTCCATGCAGACGTTAGCTGCGATGTACATGTGAGCAAAAAAGATTAAATGTGAGACTACAATAATTTTATATATAATTGCATTTCATTAGTAACACAATTATAATTTATTACATATATTAAATTATATATATATATATATATAGAGAGAGAGTTAAAATTATTATATATATTGAATTTACTTTTTTCCTCTTAAGTTCAAAATCTGTTTGCTACCTTCAAATTAAGTTCAGTAATTGAATTTAAAACTCACTCTAAGTTCAATTCTGAATAACACACAATCATGGTGAACAGCATGGGTGTATCAGTTTAGGGTGTTTCATATTGCACGAGTAATATCCACTGAGTATGTGTGACCTGAAGTCATTGTGCGCTCAACAACCACGTGTGTGATCTCACACACTCATGTTTGATCTGATATTGAAAATGTTGTACATGCAGTTTTCAAGTACTAGGAAAAAGTATATAAAACCATTTCAGCATGAAGTCATGACCCACCCTTGTATAAGATGACAAGCAGTGATCCAGGCACAGAAAAATCCACCTTGACAAATGGCATCATGTTTGGAGTAGTAACTAAACCAATTGCAAAAAAGTGAGCCAACATGATTTCACCCAGGATAACCACAGAAAAGGTCTTCAGTTTGGAGACAAATGTGTGTCAACCCGTGGTCCAGAGCTACTTAAATGTGCTGCTACTCTCCCATCTGTCCTCACAGAGGATCAAATTACCATGGTGGTGAAATGGAAAAGTGGCAGATCTCCATCCCCAACAGCAGAGTATCATACAATGAGATCTAAGTGCTCTGATTAGCGGGTAAGGTGGGAAAGCCAATGCATGGAACTGCCTCAAACCATAGAAGACAGTACAGCATGTTTCTTTAATTACTGTACACAGTGAAAATTCCTTGATGGTGACTGCAGGAGTGTGGGAAGAGAGATGGCGAGATGGTTTTACCAGGTGGCACCACCTTTCACTGCAGGCTTGATTTGCAATAAAATGTTGGCATTGTAGTTTAGTGGTTAGCACACATGTTCCAAACACTTTCAGTCTTGGTTCTCATGTGGGAAATGCAGGTTTGAATCCAGCCTGTATTGTCCTGATGCTGTTCATCTCATTTATCCTGTCTTATCTCTAGTTTTACTGTTAATAAGTTGGCAAAAACTCGAAAAGTAGCCCTGTTTTCTGATGATTTCTGAATGCCAAATACCCAATTATATGCATATATCATATTATATATTACATTTACATGTAAGCATCTTCCTAATTTTATCTTGCTTCTACCAAATAAAGATGAATTTATACCAAAATTCTTTCATTTGTTTAGACACATGGCTTCTGATGTCAATAACTAAAGGACATTTTTTCTCCTCTCATGTATGTATGTATGTATTTATCCCATCTTAATTCTTTAATTTCGCATTGTTTTTCAAAAAACAAAAACAAAAAAACCTGCCGTCCATTTTTGGGCCACAACCTATCAGAGAAAAATTGTTCTAAATTTACTGTTTGATACAATTTTTTTTTACAGTTATCATTCTAGTCCGAAATTCACATATTTAGCTACTAATATGGTGCTGAGACAGACGCCTATATTTTAGATATGGGGGTGTGGCGTCAGATTTCAGAGAAATGTTTACTCATGCTTTAAAAGTTAAGACTGCTCAGAGTTATTCTGGGCTCGTTATCTTGGAGCGCCTACATCCAAGCTAGAAACCACGAGGAGGAGGGCTGTTATGAGGATTAGTGGACTGAGTCATTGTCTCATAGTCAGTGTACTAAGGACCGTTCAGTCTTTATCTGCCAGCCAAGTTGCCGTAGTAGGGGGTGAAAAAAAACACGGGGGTCTTTAATTGGAACTTGACCTTTGACCTCCTATCTCCAAGCACAGTATTCTGCCAACTGTTGGGTTTCAACTGTTTTTATCTCACAATAGTTAGTTGGATTCTGGGTTGAGAAAGCTGGTCCAAGGTCAGTGTAAATAAGATGCCTGTTCCAACATAGTGCTGTCTCCTCTGATGATGCAGCTCCTCCATCAGGCCAGTGCTGGATTTCAGTTTTGTTTTTATGAAAACAAGAGGGAGATGCTGTGAATTGCAGGCTTGTGTTTTTAACAGGAGCAGAGTTTCACAATGTCACATTCCATGTGTTGTTTCACACATTTTTGGGGAGGCTGAAAAAGCTGTTACTAATATTATTCTTTGGTGACTAGCATTTAAACTCTTACTGAGTTTTAAAGAGATAATTCACCCGGACCTACCTATCTATCTATCTATCTATCTATCTATCTTTTTTATGAAAATCTGACTATATATTTTCGATAAAACTCAAAATGTAAGTTTAGCAAATTTTCATTTTTAAGTTTAGATGATTTCAAGTTATAAATACTACTATACAGGTGCATCTCAATAAATTAGAATGTCGTGGAAAAGTTCATTTGGAAAGTATGTTCATTTATTGTACATGTACTTAATACTTGGTAGCGGCTCCTTTTGCTTTAATTACTGCCTCAATTCGGCGTGGCATGGAGGTGATCAGTTTGTGGCACTGCTGAGGTGGTAT